TGAATCTACTAGTTCCAAGAATAATTATACCTATGAATTACATTATTAATAAACTATAATCATTTTCTCGATATACATGTACTTATAAAAATAAAATGACATTTGTTTAAGAGGTTGACAAGAATTATTTTATAATGATAGAACATGATTGACTGAAACAATAAAAATTTCCAGAAGAGGCTTTTGATAATAATTCTAGAATCAGTATTTTCATAAGACAGACACAAAAATAAGCGACAGTGCTTTGTTAATACGTGTCACTTAAAGCAGTTTCCTCGTTCAATATTCGATTTCGACTGCAAGTTGATCATATTTTGACAGATATCCAAGTTATGAATAGAATTCTCACGCGGTGAATTGCCAATGGGTAGCTTTGATTAGCATTTTCTGACTACGAAACTGTTTTCCGAATCCGTGACAGCGATCGAACACATGCAGAAAAGAAGAACTAAATATGATTAATTTGCAATTTTTGGAGAAAAATGAAAGATGGTAATTGGATCATTGAGAGTAACATTAGCAACATAAATATTTACCGCTAGAAATCGTTCGCCAATCATTCGAGCCAAAGATTAATGGTCTTTAGTTCAGCAAAAAGTTTTTTTTTCATTGAGATTTAATCATACTTCGATACTTTTCTGCGCTCCTGTAGTAACATGCTGTATGTCAATATGTCAATAACATAAAAAACATGTTTCTAACAGGAATAAAATCATTTTCATGAGATTGTTTGTTGTTGAAAATGCGCGTGTAAGGCGGCACTGTTATATGACTACACAATGTTCGTCAGATGCCGAATATTCTCTCGTTAAAGGTTCAAATCTATTGTTTGTTTTCTTTTTTGTGGACTAGTCACAACGAGACATAGGGTGTGGGTGTGGGTACGGGTGTGGTTATTGAAGAAGCGAAAACCAACCCACACCCACACCCCATCTTTATTTGATTCATCTTTATATTTTGGATAATCAGCAGCAATTTGACTTTCACTATCAGTTCTTAAATGCATTCGTCCAGTTAATGAAAATGCTAAATCAGCTGCATGAATATTAGATTTCAAAATCTAAACTCCACAAAAAAAACATGACTTTAAGTATATTAATAAGAAATCTTTACTTGAAATAATAAAGATAAAATTCGATTATATGATTTTTCAGGCATTGGAGCGAATTTAACATTTTCAGTTAAATGAACATTAGCATCATCTAAATCAATCCATAAACCATCGAACTAAATAAATATAGAAATAGAAAATGAAGAAAATGGAAATCTATATACATTAGCTAATGCTTGTAGTTATTGATCCGAATGAACACCAATAATAAAAGGTGTTGGTGCATCAAGTACTTCAATAAAATCAAATGGAAGCACAGGGATAAATGTATAACTATAGAGATGAAGAAATCAGAATGATTAAGTAAATAAATAAAATTCTCTACCAATATTTAAGTGGAAATAAAAGAGATTCCACAGCGGGGTGGGTGTGGGTGGGAGGGGAGGTGTGGGTGTGGGTGTGGGGGGGGGGGGGATGTGGCTGTGGCTGTGGATGTGGGTGGGGTGTGGGTGTGAGTGTTGTTGTTTTCTTCAGACGCACCCACAGCCACAGCCACACCCACCCACCCACACCCACACCCACACCGACACCCACCCACACCCACACCCACACCGCACACCCACACCCACACCCTTTTCAGGCAGCTTATATTATAATTAACGATACAACTTTGCCAATTTTTTCTGAGTGCTCCACAATAAATCCGATGCAAATTTTTCTGTTTTGTAAAAGTTTTCAAAACAATCCTGTCCTCAATATTGTAATAGTGAAAGAGCATAGGCGATGCTAATTATCTTCTCTTCAATGTTTTTCTTATTTTAAATTGGAAAGTTTAAGAATATTTCGTTTCGAGTGAATTTCTATAACCCGAAAGTAGAGATTCACAGTTTCTTTTTTATCCAAAAATAAAGCAAAAGTACGTTATTTCGTCTCTTATAGATTTCATAACAATTTTTCTTATTATTATCCTTTTATTAGTCTCGTAGAACACTGTCGGTGAAATAATTTTATGTTAAAAAGTGAACTTCTTCAAAAATATTTTGATGGTCCTCAAGATAATATCCATCCACCATGAAAAACAATGTCACGATAAACTGAAGAAGCAACTTACTGCTACTGTCGGTGATGATGTTCATCAGCCACTTCACATCTCCGGAATGTGACTATTGCACATTGAATACATGCTTATGTAGGAAAGAGTCAGAGACGGATGTAAAGAGAGAGAAGTCAGCGTGACGTGATATCAATATCGGCACGGGATATAGTGTCAAAAAGAAATAGAATGATTTATTCGATTTTACTTATAGTTTTATACATTATAAATTACTGATAATTCCATTAATGCATAAATTAAATTAAAAATAAATGTGAATTGATGTTGTTAGTAGTGAAAAATTACTGGTAATTTATTTTCAACATTACTCAATATCGAATCTGATCCTTGAAATATATGAAAATGTAATTTCGTGGATCACAGAAGGAAAGTAAGTGTTACTGCGTTCTATAGAAAAATAAATTAGATTGAATAAAATTTATAATTATTTCTAAAATAGCATCATTTTCATCGTTCATTATTATCAGTAAGCATGCGCCGTCATATATCAAGTTTTTGTGCCATTAGAATACCTGGAGTCTTCTAGAATGTCTTTTCATTCAGAAACCATATACAGTTCATTTGTAATATCTGTAAAAAAAAAGATCTTAAGGTGCGTTACTCTCAATAAATACTAATTAGTATCAAAGTCTTTTTGCTCTATTTAGCGCTAGGATATGAGTAGATTTACTTCTCCGTTATTTCGACAATGAAAGACAAAACAAGCACAATATCAATACCAAAAACAATGATTTGGTGACAAATAGAATGTTCTTAAAATCATATACTGAATTAGATTTTGATTGTTTAGTAAGATTTATAATAAGATATAAAAAAAAACTTCTAAGAAGTTGTTTTGTTAATATATCTATGCAACTATTTGAGCAATTTCATCAAATAAACAGTCATTGAAAATCGTCAAAAAACATCGTATAGATAAGTGAAGGGTGTTTTATTTTGTACAGAGTTGTTTGCTCTGTCATAGAATTCTATTTGCAAAGTTTATCAATTGAAATGCATGGATTTTGGTTTGTCAGACTTCACCTTTGAGAATTCTTGTTGGACATGAAGTTTTCTATTCAAATCTTTATTTAGATCTTTGTTATCGTGTACGATAGTCAAAAAAGAATGAAAATAAACCTGGTCAAATATTTATGGAAGCCACTGTCTATCGTAGGTCAATGTAAAATAGGCTTAGATGAATTGTGGATTTGAAATTGAAATAGTCCATGCTCAAATTGAGAACACAGCGCCAAAAAACTTGAAACAGTCCACAGAAAAATGTCGAATTCAGAGGCTTGTTTAAGTTCTAATATGAACAGCTTTCTTGATTCGACACTAGAATAGTTCAATGTCGGATCTTAGATGGACTTATGTTCAACAAAAATTGGTCTACGGCAAAACTATTTAATATATAAGTATGTTTTGACTTTTTCTCTGTGAAAATCCTCTACATTATAATTAGAGTAAAAATCAAAAACAGAATTTTAGAAGAGAATCTTCATTTTCTGAATGTATTTTCATAAGTAAAATCTAATTTTGATATATATATATATATATGAAAACTTAGTTATACATAATAAAAATATCTAGTTTTATATGAAACACACGTATATGTTCAAAAGAAATAATAAATGTAAGTTTTAAACTGAGATTTTCAGACTCTTCTTCTCCATTACAGACATGAGTAATTTAATAAAGAACAACATAGTGTTCGCTATTCTATAAAAATCTCGAATATTTCAAAGTTTTCCTCTCAACTTGAATAGTTAGAATTCATTTTTTGAATGTTTTACATGATTGAGTTTTTGATTAATGATCTAGATAAAAATTTATATTCAAGATGTCAATAATGATGAGGGGTAATGTATCGATGTGCAACAGTTCTCATATGATCACCATAGAATATATATTTTGATTATATTATAACTTTGATATATATATAAACAACATCAGTACTTGTGAGTTGGTCGAGATAGATAATAGTCCTTTGATACTTGTTGTAAACTCAGTATGTATTACAACAGTCATATATGATAATGTCAGTTAAATTAATGATTAGAAAAACAATCATACTAAATTACGAAAAATAAAATGAAACCACGAGCAAATAGCAACAATGCCAAAAAATATAGGACGTCCGTTAAAAAGAATTCTGCTCAAAACCTTGTAAAACGAGAGATTCTTGCTTTGATAATAGCTTATATTGGAGAACAACTGTAGTCTACAAGATATTTTTTACTTCGTGAATCTTAAATAAGTTTAATGAAGCTAAAAGACATACATGAGTTTGACCTTTTATTCTCGAAGGAGCTACTCTAACAAGCTTTATTTTCTACCAATTAAACTACCAATGTCTGCTGTTCTTTTTTTTAAATCTGACTGTTCACTTTAAAAGAAAAACAAATTTATCATAGATGATCTTGAAAACAATTGTAGCTTCACAAATAACCAGATACGAATTTTAGTTCAAAAAAATCTCGAACTATATGCAGCACTTTTTCTTATAAATTTTTCCGAAATAAAACATTCGTTTTATTCTATTTATTCAGATCTGTTATTTCTAACAGTTTGAATTTTTTTCCATATGACTAGTTTATTTTACAGAAACTTGAGTGAAAGTTTTCATTTTAATTTTCTTTTAGTTCAATTATTTCTTAAACCTTCATTTCAAACCATTATCGTGTATTATACAAAATCCTTAAATTTATTTTCAAGTGATTTGATGAAATGTTAACAATATCAACAATACTCGCCATATTTAATTGGTGTTTAATTTACTTATCTATTATCATATTTTTATTGATTTTCTATATGATTTATAACAGTTGTCGAGAAATACGAGACATATCTTTCTTATTGACATGTAATAGCTGCTTTGCTGCATTATTAATATGTCTTACAATGTGTGTAATGATTGGTTCAAAATTATTTAATGATTTTTTAACCAAAAATATTGTATTTTGTTATGCCTTTGGTCTATTCTATGATATATTTGAATGTTCAATGTATTATAGTTATTCTATACAAGCATTTTATCGTTTATGTAGAATAGTTTTCTATAAAAAGAAATATCTGGTATCTCATTCTTTATACATTATATTGATTATTATTCAATGGCTATTGGTATTAGGTTTTCTTGTGCCAACAATTTTTTTCCATTGGTATTCTCGTTTACCAACAGAACAATATTGTATTATTCCTTATACAAATATCCGTGCAGAAATCTATCATATTCTTCTTTTATATATTATTCCAATAATATGTATTACAACAACATATATATGGATAACGATATTTATGCATCAGAGAGCTCAAACATCACTGATTGCTAGTACAGTTTTACGACGAAAACGAAATGAAAGAGATTTAATAGTTATTAAACGTATTATATTGTTAACATCATTATTGATTATACTACGTTTTCCAACAATCATCTTTATAGTATATGCAGTTATGAGTGGAAATGTATTTCTATTTACATATGATATAATTGGAATTTTTACATCAACATGTTTGATATTTATTGGAATTTCAACAATTTATACAACACCACAATTACGAAAACTAGTCGATATTTTGGCTCATCCAAATAATCGAGTGCACGTGGAACACATAGCAATGAATCCAAGGGGTGTTTCAATAGCAACAGTCGGTGATACCACGATCACTCAAAAAAGCAAACAGAAAACTGTTCAGTTTGTACGAAATCCTTGACAATCTTCTGCTGTTCAATCATAAACGTTTAGTTTTGTTTTAGAGTGATGAACATTTCTTATCATCTTTTTCAGTTCAGTCAATTATATTCGCACTTATACCAATAGTCATTTAATTATTTCCGTTTTCTTTCTTTTTTCTCTTGTTAGTGATTGATTTATATGTTGTATGTCTATCCCACACAATGGATCTATTATGAACTCAATAAATTACGCATATACTCGTCCTTATTAATCCTTTTTTTTCATGTGATAACTACTGAGAAACTGCCGTCGATACACTGTATATTAGACACGTGTTTCATTTTTCAGTATTCCCTAGGAAAAATTGTTGATGTTTCCGAGTCAGATCCTAAACGGATCCAGTCAAGAATCTTCCAGAATTCGCTCTTTTTTCCTGGAGAATCGACTAAATCCTGAAAGAAGCGTGTAGCTACGAAATTTCAAGATCTTGACAGAGTTTGAAACAGGATTGCATCAGGATCCTAATCAGATTACCGCTGTGGGATATGGGTATGCGGATGGGTGTGGGTGTGTTTTGAGTATCTCTACAAACCCACACCCACATCTACCCACACTCTATTTATAAAGTAAATTAATGAATAATAACTTTCATTCAACGTTATTAATTAACAATCACTTCTTAGATAATGAAATTTATTATTTATATTTAGAAAAGTGAAGAGTTGTCGGATGAACAAATGTTATTAATTTCATAACAGATAGAAGAACAAGTATGACGAAAATGTCAAGTAATGATTCAGACATCATATGATAAATTTCTCGCGAAAGCATATTCACAATGATTCCAGTTAAATTTAAGCCCAATAAATTGTGATCCATCCGATCCAATCTAATACAAAATTAAACTCAAAATTGACTCAATCCGAGATATCTGCTTTATCTATTGATGCTAGTTTAGCTATTTTCTACGAATATAGTTATTCAATAGAAATTGGAAAACTTTATACAAATATAGAACAAAAAAATCCTTCAAAAATAGTAACTACTAACATGCGATTAAAAAATGATCATATGATTCTTGATTTGTGCTTCTCATAGATAGACATATGCTGACATGTAAATACAAACTGAGACAATTATTAAAACTTCTTATTTTTGTAGATACATGATATATAGGATACTATTTTCAATACGCTACGAAGCACAGCATTTATGTAGCACTTCGCGTACGTATTTTTCAATAAATTGTAAATATCTTTCCGAGAGAAACATTTGTCGGTTCTTAGTCGTAGAAAAAATTCTTAGTTTTTCGCGAATTATCAATTTCTCCATGATTGATATTCGAAGCTAGGGATGCAACAAGAGGACTAATGGTGATGTTGGTTAGCACATGAAAAACCTACGACGATGACCAATACTTTAGCACCACTGACTTTTCTTAGCATAAAGGTATCAGAATAATGAAAGAAATCAATCATCACCGGTCATAACAGTAATGCTTAAAAGTGCATCAGTATTCCAAGTTTCGTATCGGAAAGCGATTACTAGAATGGCAGAAGGTTCAACATTTTATCTGATTAGTATTGCATCGAATGTTATTAATAAATATTTTGAAAGTTTTAATGAAAAATAGGATAACGTTGTTAACATTTCTTAGTATTTTCGAAAATGTTATCGCTTGAAATTTAGATTTATTTTTAAGTATTTTAGTATAGTAATTAGTAACGATTAGAATAGAACTGTTCATATTCTACAGAAGAATGATAAATAACAAAAATATTTTAGACCTATGGAAATAATCAGTATAGTGCATATAGATTAAAAAAAAACGATAGATTTCGAACTTATAAGCTTTTAGATCAATTATGAGTAAATAAAGAAGGAACAATAGAGTGTGGCAAGAAAAATGAACCTGAAAGAACTTCTACATAGTTTAAAGGATCCTGTCGGATTTGCCACACTATTTGTTTAGAGAAACTAAATACAGGGTTTTGTAGAACTAGAAAAGTTACATTAAATGGTATATGGAACAGATTGGTTTCTGTCAAGTTTCATGAATTTTTCTTCTATACACTGCTTTTCAGTATTAACAAATATTTCGGGTTAAAAAAAAAACTAGACCCCTTATTAAAGTGACCCTGTATGGGCCGTTGTCCGAGTCCATTAATAATTCGTGTTTTACTTAGTTTTGTAAAGAATGTTTTGCTCTATAACTCTGTTTATCTCATTATTTTCGTTTGAAAGGAAAAATGTTTCATTTTAACCAAAAAAATTAAAAACTTTAATTCAAAAATACTAGAAAAACCCAAAATTTCAATTAATTGGTATTGGTATAGTAGTTCGTTATCATTCAAGACCTATTGGTACCCACGTTATTTTTTCCCAGAAACTGTGCCTAGTCATGCTCTATCGGTAGCCATATATTCTATATTAAAAATCGAAAGGCCTGAAGAGAAAACCGGTAAGGACTGTGCGGACCTCGCAAATTTCTATGTCTTTTTTGTTGATACTTAGAAGATTTTAGTCAGAAAAAGTTACGTTTTGGTCTAAAACAATAAAATCTGACAACATATTTCGAATTAGCATCGAAAACTGAGTCGACTTATATGCGTTTGAAGTATTTTCATGAATTTTTTGCTTCGCTGAAGAATTCACCTGGGTCCCCTCAGGGTTAAGTCAAAACATGAATTCCATCAAACTATCGTTTGGACAGTCCAAATTGATTTCAAAGCTTATAAAATATTATTAGAACCTAAAATAGCAAATGACTAAACACTAAAAACAGCATTTTGATGAAATTCGTGTTTTGGCTTAACCCTGAGGGAGACTCCAGGTGAATTTTTGAGCGAAAAAAGTGGGTGTGTGGCTGTGGCTGTGGGTGAGGGTGTAGATGTTTGTTTTATTTTTATCCACCTACATCCACACCCAACACCCATACTCACACCCACACTCACACTCACGCTCACACCCACACCCACACCCACACTCCACACACCCACCCACACCTACACCCCACCCACACTCATCCACACCCCACACCCACATCCACCCACACCCACACCCACACCCTATCTTTCCAAGATCTGATCAAGATCTTGCTTATTGGTCCCAAGATTTCAAGATCTTGCTTACAAGATGTTTCACTAGGGTATGATATTGCTGTAGTTGGAAAAGAAAAGATACAATAACTAAAAATTTATAGGAAAATTCCGTCTAAATTTTATTCAAAATGTTTTAAAATCTGTTTCTAGTTTAATTCGTTGCACTATGCAATCTTCATTATGATGATATGAGAAAAAGTGTCGTGATATACTATCAGCTATACAGCGACACCATGATGTAGCAATTTTTTTTTGTTCTTACATTCGTCTGATGTTTTATAAACAGCTTGACCTATAAATAAAACAGTTAAAAATCGAATTTTCGAATTTTTGTTATGCACTTGTCATTATTTGTAACAACGAACCTAAAATCAAAATAAAACATGCATTCAGTAATTCTCACAGGGACATCGAAATTGAATTTTTTTGCTAGATTATAAGGCTAATTTTGAATCCTTGAGCCGCAGCAAAAAGAAAGAAAATGAGATTCTACTTGAGATAAATGAAAATAAAAATTAAAAACACATTCTCATTTTTGAAAGAAAATCCTTTTAATTCATTTACATGGAAGAACAAGTTTATCTACTTGAGCAGTTAAATTTTCACGCTTTAGTTCAACTTTGTCTCTGATACTCACGCAAATAACCATATTAAACATTGGAATGATATTTTCGCTTGATAAAGTTTTTCTGAATGGCAAAGAAATGACAAACGTTTTTCATTACTCACACGTTTTCAAGAGTATTCCTTTCTGTTCTTGTAAGGGAGTATCATTTATCTTTGATATTGTTCTGAGAGCAAACAATTGAGACACAAAGAAATAGGGTGTGGGTGTTGGGTGTGTCGTGTGGGTCGATGTGGGATATGGGTGTAGGCGTGAATGAAGTCATTAATCAAACCCAAACCCACCCTCGTCCTTCAGAAAAGTATTCCTAGACTTTCATAGAGTTCTCGTGGCAATGAATTTTATAATAGTACTCTTCAATTTTCTCACAACTTATATCAACTGACTCGTGAAAAAGTAATTTTTCGAATTCAAATGATATAGAGAAGTGTCTATGTTCAGTAGTATGTACAAAATTCAACTAGAAATGATGATTACCATTAACTCGGCAATCAAATTTTCGTTTTCTACGAAATACCGTTTTGTTGAAAATTCAATTCGAGATTCTCTCGAATACCATCTAGTATATATGTGTAGTTTTTATTTTTTATTTTATTTTCAAAAAATGATAAAGAAATATAGTTAATTCATTTTGAATGTCAAAATAAGTAACAAATGACAGACTAAAAATTGAATAAAATAGTAAAGAAAAAATAATCTGATTAATCGGTTGGTAGATTTTTTTCTGAGCAAAAATGACTATGAATCGATTAGAACGACGTATAATATGATCTAGGATCGGTTGAAAAACATTATATGGCGTAGGCAACTTTTGAGTGCGCCCATCATGAGGAAAAAAACTCCAGTGTCTGTCTGTGTATTAATATGACAGCCAAAAAAGACTGTGTGGTGCAAGCGTTCTGCGCAGTAATAGAAAAGTATTTAGTTGGTGAAAAGCGAAGAGTGTCTAGAGAAAATACGCAAAAATCAATGATGATGGCAAGAAATTGGAAGAGAGAAAAAGAAGGAGAATGGGATTAAGAAAAGATAAAAAAAGACATGAGAGAAAAGAACTGGAGAAGAAGAATACTAAAGATACTTCGATAAATAATAACTATAAGAAAAAGCCTTTCTGTTGCTCTTTTCTATTCAATCTAAGATAAAGCTGAAGCAATACAGTGAGTTACATAAATAGCTTTCAATTGATTGTAGGGACAAGACTCGACATATAACAAAACACAAGGAAATTGACAATATATTCGAGTAAGACAATCTCAAAAATTTTGGTTTGATGGTGAAAGATAAAAACTTTATATAGATTTTACCCATATGTTCTCCTTTGAATAAGAATATACCGTTATTTTGTAGGTTAAAAAAGTATTGAGTACTAAAAAAATCCACTTGTTCAACAATAGAATCAGAAATGTGTAAAAATCATTTTTATCCTATTCGATTGAGTTCAAGAAATCTTTTCTGTAGTGTGTAATGAAAAAATTTTTTGGTACATATCGTAATGTGTTTGGTTTGATTATCTAATTAACTTCTACATTGAAAGGTAGAAAACACTAATCAAACGCTCACCAGTTAAATAATTGTCTCAGAATTTAGTCGTACTAACACTAATCATTTTTATGTCAGCAGATACAGAATGTCAAGCTACACACAATTCTTTCCTTCAAAAGAGCTTATCTCTTTTCGACTGTAATGAAAAAACTGAAACGTTTTTATTGACATGAGAATGTACGACTAATAGATTATTAGACATATGCTTCGATAGTTTTCAACATAATACAGTCCAGTCTAAGACATTGGTTTTATGACCAAATAACAATGGTGTATTTATATATTTTCATTATCTATTTGAATAGTGGATAATACATTATTGAAAAAATAAAGATGACACTTTATTCTAGTCAAATACTGAGTAGGTGATGCCTTTGTGGTATTCAATAGATTTAAGCTTACAAAATAGTGGTACATGTCAATAAAACTCAAACTAAAGTCTTTATTATTTTTAGCATCAGAACTAAACTTTCGGATCTAAACTAAGTTGAGAAGCAAGCCTGGAACAAACTAGCAGTCTCATCTGTCTCATCCGTTAAAATATACTTGTTCATCTCTACAGTGTAGAGTTGAAATAATGTTGTCACACAAGTTAAGATATACGTGTCCATATTCCATTTATTAGCTATTTTAATTTTTCAAGAGATTTTTGTGCACTTGATAAATATCGAGTATTCATTAAATTTGAACAGGTTTAGTTACTCGCACAAACTTGCTTTTTTGATTAGATAGAATGGTGTGAAATGTAGAATTCATATGTTGATCTTAACAAGTTCTCTTTTCATGCAATCACACATAAGCTTTGGCTGTTTCAATTTTTTTCAGATATATATAGATAGACAATTAGACACTTAACAACTTTCATTGAAAAAATGATAAGAAAAAGTACTAGGCGCAGGTACTCCAAACACTGGTTCGGTGCTCGTTCTCTTCTCTTACAAACTTTTTTCTGCTTTTTGACTTTGCTATTGCTCGCAAGTTGTCTGTTTCGAAGCAAGGCGCAACTTTTCTTGTAGTTTTTATATAAAAAAAAACAGTAGAGTGCAACAAATTTTCGCACTAAGATAATTGTATTTTTTAGTAAAATCGATTTGTTGAATGAAGCAAATAAGACGAAAGTATGATGAGTATTCAAAAAATAACCTGGTTTCATGTTCCATGAAAAAAATAGCTTTCTCGTTGTGATAGTAGCATCAAAAGAGCGACGAAGTTAGAGTAAAATATTGTGTATCATTTGATCCTATATTTCTATGTATAAAGAAACTCAATCTGATTTTATTGTCGAAATTATTAGTCAATTTTAAATTCTAAACCCTTTCAAGGATAGAAAGCTGTGTCATTCAAAGAGACAACATCGACTTCTCTTATAAGTCTCGAGAGAGTATTACTTTTTTTCTACATTGTAAAAAATATTCCATGGTACATATAAAGCATTGAAAAGTTAGAGTTCTGAGATCACTTTTGAACATCCAAACGGTGAAATAATCATGCAGCTGACTGACTTAAAAAATTATTGACTTATGCATTTCAAATCACTATGATTCTTGCGAATAATGGCTGCAAATGATATTCAACTGAGATGTTCGAGATTTATTGGTATTTCATTCGTGTCGACTACTGAGATTTCATGTTATTGTGTTTTCCTTATTTGACAGGCAGAAGACGGATGTACAAGAACGAACATCTTCTCTAATTATTTTTTTCTTTCAATCGTTGCTCACTAGATTTTTTTTTACTAGGCACTTGAAACGTTTTTTCACCAGTTTATGCCTCTGTGTTTATCATAATAAATATACTATATAATTATTGATTCGATTTTAATCATTATGGCAGAGCACAACAATGATATTGTTTCCTCTCCATTGGAACTCAAAGGTCTATCGAAATACGTATCGCTAATATGTCATCGATCACTCGAACGAGCTGTATGGACATTTTGTGAGTTGGGCATTGCTGATCTAATGGCTGATCATCAAGCTCCTATTACGGCATCTGAATTATCTCAATTGAATGAAAATAGTTGGAACGCAGAATTTCTCTATCGACTGTTACGTGTGATTGCTGATGCTGATATTATAAAAGAGATAAATAATGATGGTCACAATTCAAATAAGTATAGTCATCCAGAAGAAATGATTCGGTTTCAATTGACAGACGATGGATTACTATTGACAAGCAATCATTTTTCAAAAACACGTGATATGATTCGATTAGATTTAGGACCAAACGCGGAAAAGATATCAACATATCTTCCATCTTTAATTAAATTTGGCTACACAAATGGAAATAGTTTCGAACAGGTATTCGGTTGCAACGTATTTGATTACATGCAAAAAGAAGAGAATAAAGAATATGCAAATATGTTCAATAATTCCATGGTTGCTTATTCAAATTATACGACATCATCAATAGTTTCACTTATTGATTTTGTTCGTTTCAATACATTAGTTGATATTGCTGGAGGATTAGGAACATTATTATCATCTATTTTAGAAAAACATCAAAATTTACATGGTATTTTATTTGATTTAGAACATGTGATCGAAAATGTTAAAATGATGAATCCAAACGAGTTTCAACGAAAAAAGATTGAACCAACTCGTTATGAATTTGCTGCAGGAGACATGTTCAAATCGGAAACATTACCATCCGCCGATGCTTATATATTAAAATACATAATTCATGATTGGGATGATGAAAAATCTATTGAAATACTCAAATCAATACGTTACGCTAATAAATCACAAATAGAAAAGATAATTACAGTGTTTATAGTCGAAATGATAATATTATCAAATGGTAAAGATAACTGGGAAGTACACGTAATGGATCTTGAAATGCTATCAGGCGTTGGTTCGAAAGAAAGAAACTTAACAGAATACATCGATTTATTGAACAAAAGCGGTTATACATTGAAACAATTATACAAAACAAAAGGTCTTATGTCTATTATTGAGGCAGTGACCACAACTCAAAATTATGATTGACAGAATAATCTCTTAACAAACAAACAGTTTTCACAATAGACCCTAGTTTTCTTTTTGTAGCATATGTATTGTGATTCTAGTTTTGAATTGATGTATAAAACTGAAATAAATTCTAACTTAACAATAATGATGAGCAAGGCATTATAATTGAGCCCATGAATAATCAATATATTTTAATGATGTTTCTCAGATATTGATTCAGTCGTCTCTATACAGAAAGATTATTAAATCAAACTTAAGTGAATATAGTATGCCATAGAACAATGAAAAATAGGTGAGGGTTACATACCCGGTGTTATAAAAATTTTGCATCATATTTTGTTTTATATGCATCTCTGTTCATAAATACGACAAAACGTTGATCTTTTTTTTTCAAAACATGTACTATTGAATTCTCTACAAACGTTCATTTGCTTTAATTTAGAACACAAAAACTCTACATTTGTATAGGTTCAATTGTGTGATTATGAGACTTGAGTTTGGTTCCCACATATTTTTTTCAATAAACTTATTCTTTTCCTACAAGCCAATATTTTGTTATCAAAGCATAATTTACTCGTAGACAGCACTTGAAGTCTTCTATCAATTGTATGTATATGCGAATTTTTTAGATGTTCATTCTTGCGGTTAGGTATGTTTCTATGTTTTGAAAAATAGAGCGATTTTCGTGATTGCAATACCAATCAACAAGTAAGATGATATCGTGATCAGTGACGAGGGTTCGAAACTACTCATATTTCTATTACTCATATGCTAAGTTCTTCTGCTCCATATCAACCGGTCAAAATTCATCCTATGAAACAACTCATCGAGAAGGATCATTTGTGTTGATTTTACTCGCGCAAGTCTTGTTATATTTTGCTCTGTGTAAAATTTTGACGGAAATCATAACTGATTGAACTCTAAGTAAGCATCAACGAAATCTTCGACACATTTTACATACATCAAACAAAATACTAGAGAAAACGGGTCAAATTCTGGTTTTGTATCTGTTACAACTAAGTAGATAACTATCATAAGTTTAGAAGCAAACGTGAGCAAGAATTGTGATCATAGCATTGTCGAGAACTTAGTACTTCTAATAAAAACCTTAGTTTCTTTCCGATGAGTCCTAATGAAATTTGTATGATTCGATAGATAATAAAATACAACACTTAGCATAATCGATTTGAGATTTAACACAAATGAAGAAACGAATCCGGATAAGAAAAATATTTTGAACAAGCTTCTAGCTCTTCTTATATGAGAAATCTCTTTTCATTTATCGTACAGTGATTATTTGACTTTATTGCCGATAAGCTCATAAATAGAAATGAAGACCAAAATTAGGAATAATTTTTTTAAATAATATTATTTGATTTCTCATGTATACAATAAATATCGGATGAACGATTATTAATCAGGTTATTTATGATAAATTCCATCCAGAAAGATTGCTAATCGAATTCAAACGAACGTTACCGAACACAACCTGTCATGCTTTAATTCTTGTTCATTTATTGATTCTCTCAAAAAAAAAACTCAGATCAGTAAAAGAATATGAATCTAACAATAGTATATAAATCTAATATCCCAATGGTCGGTTTCCTTGGTAAAAGTATTTCCATTGGCTGCTGTATATTGTATCGTTCCGCTGATGGGATCTCCACTGTTTTCAAAAGTGTTGCTGATATAAGTGTCGATGCAACTATCAAGTCCGATGCCAATTTTGTAGCCGCTTTCGTTGCTTGTTTCCTTTTTTATTTCAATAAAATTTAAATATAAATGAAAAAAAAATGTTCTTACCGTGCCAGCCGTAATAGTGATGTCACATGATGAACTCCTCTTGAGTTGTCTCAAACAGCCAATTGAGTCACAATTGATTTGCTCGAGTGAGATGCATGTTATTGTAGTATCACCACCGCATTCACTGGCTGAGGCTATTTGTACACTCATCGATGTGACTTGTGCAACAGCTTCATCATGTGTCAGTTTGCAATCGGTCAAGTCGATCACTAACAATTATTAAAAAACACTCATTAGACTTTTAGTTCCGGATCAAAAAGATTTTTCTCTTCTTTTCTATAACAGGCTTCAATTTGTCAAAATCTTCAAAAAGAACTGTTCCATAATAGAGATGAAACTTTATTTGAACTGAATCTTTCTTATGATTTGATGTCGATATCTAACCTGGATTACTAGCAGTTGTTCCAAGAATCACTATCATAAGAAACAAATTTCGACTCATTGTGTTTATCGAAGAAAATTTATGCAACTGTAAACACATTTTGAATTCTTTTTTTGCTACTATGGTTGCTTTCACATTCAAGCGAGATAAGTACATTTGTATAAGCATATTTTGTTGACACTCTTTCTTGCTTGACCATATAACGAAAAAAAAAAGCATTCATCGTCAATTCATGGCATCTAATCAATGCAAAAATGACAGTGTTAAACATACATAGTTACTTGCAGTAAACAAATGGAAAAAAAAGAAATATCCAATCATCGTTGAGACAGAAAGCCTGATTTTAATCAACTATTCTTCTTTGTGAATTAACTTCAACAAAATTTTCTGGAAATCATTCTAAACATATACAAGTATCTCACTCTGTCCCTACACAGTCAAAATTTTGACTTGAGAAACTTTTCAGTTATGAACCTAAATATTATAACCCTTTGAGCCCCAACAAATCTCAATCAGCTCAATTATTAACACATATGCCTATAGTTGGGTCTAAAGCAAGATGAAAATATTATATCGACACAGTTTCTTCAGTGTTTAGTCACATGAAATTTAGTTTTTGTGGCATTTTTCTTTGTGTAAAAAAATAAATATTGCTTTTATTGATGTTTGATGTAAAACTTGTATATGTTTTACAATTAATAAATTTTAAAAATTGAAATTTCTAATCAAATAGAAAAACTCAATAAAATGTATGCTGAGTAAATCATGCACGAGCGCACGAGATTTATTTACGTCTTGTGCTCGTGTCTACGAACTTGAAATAAAAAGCGACGCCTATGAAGATTGACTGGCTGTGCCTATTCAAGGTGGATTTCGGGATTTATGTAATTTGTCTTTGTATTGATATACCATTGAAAATTATGGTGTTAAAATAAAAATCAATCTTATCCATGACGCACCTGTGCAAGTGTGGCAACTGGATATCTCAAACGACAGAGGAATAGCAAATAATGAGAGAGATGATGATTCGGACTACCATAATTTGGTAAAATCTGATGCGAGGAATAGGAACTTAATTAATTTGAAACAATGGATACCTGAATTTTTCGATGTTACAGCGTAAGAAATCCGTCATACATGAATCTACGGGTGGCTGATCAAATACTTCATTAGATCTTGTTTTCTATTTTGCTCCCATAAAGATTTTCATGTCTTTCTTCTTAAAATCGAATAAAATTTCACAAGTTAGAGGATTTTTGCATTGAATATCTCAAGAATGATTCGACCAATCGAACTAAAATTTTAATAAATGCATATACCGATGAGTTATATATCCGTAAACATTTGGCTGAATTTCTTTTGTCATTTATATTCTATGGGTTCGCTCATAGACGAAAAATCATGATGTTGAACAACTCTGGATTAGCCAGTGATAGATGTCTGAAATTTTTCAAACAGGTAGAAATTATTGTTTTATTTTCAATGCAAAGTTTTCATTCGAACTCATCTATACACCGTTCAATTGTTTTAGAGGTACTACTCATAATTTGAGAGCCTAAGCTTCAGTCAAGAATATGATATGAAACTTGGTTTGGGATCTGGATGAACGATTCACAAAAAAAAAATCATCCTTTGGAAGGCTCAATACGATGCTTAACTCGCTAGGTAAGATCATATTTAAGAGACTGAAATTTCATACATATTAGAATACGAAAGATCAAATTTAATCAATGATTATCACACTTTTGGCTGTAGATTCTCATTTAATATACTAAAAATTGCCTAACAATATCTTATTCTGTATTTTTCAATGTTTCGATCATTGTCCAGATGCATTATTCCTATATTACACTATGAAAAACGTCAATAATTCTGAGAGAACACTATTTTACATAAGTGAAGTTTCAGCATTGTTGACTCGAATGATCTGAGTATGTGACTATCGATCTACTGGTTGTTTCATTCGCTTTATTTGGAGAACATCCAGCATAAAGTTAATAAAAATGATAAACAATGAAGAAAATGTGGAAAACATAATATTTGTCTGCAATAACTGTAAGAGATAGATGTGTTCTCATTGCAATTACTCTCTCAGTAGTGGTCAAGTGCAGAAGAAAAATAGACTTCTATCACGATTAAAAATCTTGAATGTTGCTGTGAAATATAGCTGCAACTCGACCATTGAAATGAAATCAGAGGTCTACACTTGTGACTGGAGAGGAGCAGAACTAGAAAACTTAAACGCCTGGTATATAAAATAGTATTCTCTTACAATTATTGACGTTTTTCATAGCGCAATATGTGAATAATGTATCTGTGCAATGAGAGCAACATTGAAATACGATATCTTTAATGAGGGAAGACAAAGATCTACTTGATTATCCATCAACGATATTCATGTAACATCAGATAAAATGTGATGAAACTTGTTGATAAAACCAATTCTAAGATATGCAATCGATATTGCTGCTTTAGTATAATAATTTAGAACAATTGTGGATGAAAAGAAAAACTTTTTTTAAAATTTTGTTAATTCAATGAATTAATTACACACACTTTTTCCCATAGCTAGAACATATCGAAGTGTACTACAACGAAGTTTTGTGTGCAATATATTTAAAAGAAAAACACAATGTATCTTTTTTTTTGTTTGAAAAAAAAAACACTTATCAATAATAAACGACGGTTGATATGCACTACACCCAGTTTTACTCTTTTTTTTGATCATATAATCAAAGAAAGACTAAAAAGTCAAAGAAAAAAAGTAAAGCGTTCAAAACAATGAAATAAGTTAGATCCACTATTTTTTTTTCTTTAAAAATTACTCTAATTGTCTTACAAATACAATGTGTATCAAGAGCAAAAAATCTTTCATACATTTTATTTCTGCTTGGTATGCATGACATTAGACACATTATATCCTACCACTGTGTCCTCACATGTTTATCAAATTAAATTTCATTTTTACCTGTTACTATTTATCTGTTTGTTTTTATATCTTACATTCGATAAGAGTTATAAAACTATTTAATCAAGATAAACATACATATAAAAAAATTTGAGTACAAAAACATTGATATTTATGATTGTAGATTTAAAAAGTGTTGAATACAATTTTAAAAAAGAAAGCCGTAAATAATTGTATCAAAATTTGACGAGAATACTTATGCAAGGAAAAATATTCATTGTAATTAGTTTACTGTTTGCTTATGGTATTCATTACTATTGGTTATTATTGCCCATAAGTAATGGATATGGAGCTAAATATATATGTGTTCATCAATATTTATAGCTGGTCATAGTGAACAACAACAACGTACCGAAGATCTTGATATGTTTCCTATGAAATATGCAACGTTTACTGTAAATAACACTGATTTATCAGTAAGTGCTTCGCTATTTGGATTCGCTCAACGTAAAGCTATTTATCGCCACGGACTCGGTGCAACATTGATTAGTGAATTAACAGAAGACCAAATTCATGCGCAAACATTCAATATATCTATACCACCTGATATAAACCAAGATAATATACCATGGCCTATGGGTAATAAAATAGATGATGACAATTTTTATTTCATACAAGCGATATGGGTACATTTGCTGCTTCACATCCATTAAAAAATAAGCCAGGTACTGAATGCTATTACAATAGTGGTAACACAAATATATTATCACGTATTATCCGTCATACAGTTGGTGAAAGTGAATATCATTCGTTTCCATACCAAAAATTATTTTATAAGCTTGGTATGAATAGTTTTATTATGGAAGTTGATGCATCAGGCACTTTTGTTGGTTCATCATATTCATGGGGTACTGCTCGTGATTGGTCACGATTTGGTTTATTATATTTAAATAATGGATTGTATAATAATGAACGGATATTATCTGAAAATTGGATTAAACAAACAACTACACTAGCTGGTTCTAATCAATATGGTGAATATGGATTTCATTTTTGGTTAAACACAGGTAAAACTAATGATTCGACAACACGACGATTTCCAAACGTACCTACAGATATGTTTTATGCAAGTGGTTTTGATGGACAATCTATATTTATAATTCCATCTAAGAAATTAGTAGTTGTTCGTCTTGGTTTAACAAAATCACTCGATGGAGAATATGGAGCAAATGAATTTTTAAAAAATATTATTAGTTCAATTCAATAAAAATATTATATTCAATGGATTCCTCATGCTTGGTGTTCAAAGTCTAATGAAACCTATTTGATTTTTTGCTTTTTTTGTGAAACAAGATCTGAAAGGAGTGCTGAAGTGTAGAGAGAAAGAAATTTGGACCCATTCCTCGCTCCTTCCATCACAGATCATGACACACGTTTTCGATACACTATTAGCAATCATACATCCTTAAAATCTTATGAGAATATTTAAATTGTTTTCCTATTTTAGTTCTAGTGAATTAAATAAAAGATGGTGAAAAAAGGGTCCGAAGATCGGTCGAATAAACCAAGACCTACATAATTATTAAGAACAACTGTATCATGTTTCACATTTTAATCCCGCAGGTATTGTACTTACAGCTTTTGGTTTATGACACATTATTATATCGTGTTAGTCTTAATAATATATAAATGCATATAGGAAATACATACGACTTCTGAAAAGAATAACTTTACTAAAAGCTGAATATCGAATTGAAAAAAAATAAGTATCTGCTTATTCTTTTCTCTTTGCGATATTGTCAATAATCTTGATTGAAGATACCGTCGGCATGAATAATCATAAAATATTCGCAGATAGTTCATTGATATGAATGGCAGATTTTTATTCAATAACAAATACACTTACTCGAAATATTTCGAAAAGCAGTAGAACATTGAGAATCGATTAATACTATAATAAGAGTTTTGATAAGTGTGGAGAAATTCCTATATTGTAGAGCACATGCATTGAAAAGAAATATTGATTGAAGACGATCTATCTGACACAGATCTTTCTTTTTGACAAATCATATCAACAGAAAATGAACATTAACAATCTGGTTAATTGTATTCTGACAATATTTGATATCCTTCAAGTAAGTCAATGGACATGATCAATTCGAAAAAGTTTGATCAAAATTGAATATATAGAGCAACAATATTCTTGTTAACAGTCGAATGTCTAAGTGATACGATGTTAAATTTAGGAGTGAAATCTTCCTTGTCTTTCGTCAGAGTGAATGAATATTACCTTAAAAACCTTTTCATCAGCGAATATATCATTCTCATTCTGGTCAATCAAACAAACATTCAAAGGCTTTTTGAATATGAGTGAATAATTTTGATATCCACATCATTACTAGTCTAGAAGCTCAACAAATCTGTTCGAATTAACTGCATCAGCAGCTATCTTGATCTTTGTGAGCTCGAATCATGTTAACAGATTTTGTCGGAGTGTGATTTATTTTGACAGAAATATATGAAAAAATAAATTTCATGAGTGAAAAACTTTATTTGCACATTATGTGCACTCATAAACCATTGATTCGAAGTTATCTAACATTCGAATGCAGTCTCCCAAACAATTTACAGAGACTTTCCAAAGACCTTTTAAATAAGTCATAAGTATATCAATAGAATTCTTCGCATATTTCAACCTATATTAAGCTATTTTCATAAGATTTTAATTGAAAAAGAGGAAAGCTAATTGAAAATGATCCGACTGTTTATCTCATGACTTCAATAAAAGTCATTTCACACAGCAGTGGTAAGAAATTTACAAAAAAGCTGTCCATACTTATGAAATTGGTCAGTCAGTCGATTCGATAGTATATAAATCAAAGGTATAATCGTTCGCAAAAAACGTGATAAGTTCACTAAATATATCATCCTAATTTATCACTCACAGACTGATACTTCCATGTCAGACAACTATTTGTTTTGAAAACAATTCGAACATCTTTCTTGATGTGGATTTTGGATGTCAATTCAGAAAAATGTATTTTGAACATTAAATCTTCTATTAAGGCTTGAAAAAATTAATTTTACGATACAGGACAGTGTTTTTGATCTGTGCGATCCTTTTGAGTATTTTCAATGTTTTTACATGAAGCAAATATTTTACAGATAAAAAAGATGATATCCGTGGTCATCAAGTTCCAAACTATGTAACTACCTATAATGCATTCTAAAATATTTTATCTTAAGTTTATATTACATACATCTTTACGTTTACGGCACTGTTTCGTATTTCCTCTATGAGTAGCCACACACGACCAACGTTGTCATTGATTCATTTGTATACTACTTTTTTTTTGTATGGTAGAAAAGAAAGAAATGCGTCACACTTCAAGTCAGTCGTAATTCAATAGGTACCATAATAATGCTTTTGTTTTAGCTTACCATTCAAATATCTCCAAAGAAACTGTGAAAAAGATTAGAATATTGAGTGAAATAGTATCATATTGAGGTTTTGAACTACTGAGAAGTTTCACTACAACTGATTGTGTCTTCCGGAATTGAAACTGACAAGAGAACGTGCTAAAGAGCACGAAAACGTAATTCATATTTCTTGTGTAGGCGTGCATGTGTATATGTAAATTTGTTTGCATATTCTCCTCTCTATTCGTTTCTTTTTCTTTCTCTCTCGTCACTCCTTATTTCAAATGAATTATACATTACATCATTTGCTACAAACTTCGATCATTTCTTCTCTTCATTGGTGAGATTTCTTAAAATTTTCACATTTTCTCTTGTTCTAACTTTTCGTCTCTCATTTCGTATTTGACGAAGAAGATACACAATGTTATCTTGTTTGTTTGATATTAACTTAACTGTTGTAGTAGGAAAGTGTAACCAAGTTACTCTCCTTCTTCTCTTTGTCTTCACTTTCTTCTCTGGATGTTTTTTCTTTTCGTTCTTTTGTTTGTGTAGTTGTATGTTTTTCAGCACTGTATAAAAAAGATTTCTTCATTCCTAAGAGTCATTGCACAATAGAGGCATATAATCCTATTTGATGAATGTCAGCAAATTAAATTAAATTTTGTCCATGTGTAGGGGAAGGTGAGTTGTGCAAACAATAACAATAGCTATAAGTACCAAAACCGTTCCCTTTGTTCAGATATTCAATCTACAATAGAGACTTCCTGAAGTATAAAACGTAGAAGACTATTGTAGTACCCATATTTTGTATATTTCACAATTGTTCAACAATTATATTTTTAGCCATGAAATTTTGTGAGTATATACTGTCATAGATATTCTATCAATTGCCACACTCAGAACAACGTTTCAGTGTGTTAACAAATATAGAAGGAGTTCATAGTTCTTAGATGTAACTTCTACTTCGCAATCAAGAATTCTATCTCTAATGAGTAATCTATGAGTTCTTGCTTAGGAGCTAAATACTAGTGTTCCTCTTGCATCCCCCATCCTGCTTTTCCTACAGTTAATTGCAGCAATTTTCAGAATATTGGCTTTTTTTGTGTTTAACCAAAACAAAAGCATTTTTTGGCATATATATATATATATAGGAACTAGTTTTGAGTACAACTGCAATCTCATCATGTGTACCGCAATGGTCTTCTACATTTTCCATCTAAAGAAGGCTTTGTTGTAGATTGAATATTCGAGGAAATAGATCGGTTTTAGAAACTAAAATCGTTGACGTTGGCAAAGTATTTATATCGTGTACTAGTTTCTATATCAATCCTTTAGATTGATTCGAACATAAGTCTTTACTGGTCTAGGTAATTCACTACAGAGAAGGATATATGTGACAAGACGTCATGCGCAACGGATGTGGATCTAGGCCTTTGTTTCATGTCGGCATCAACAAATGTGAATGGATCATCATAACTCTCGAGAATGAACGATGCCCATGTTTCTAAGGTAATCAAGATACATAATAGCACGTTGAGATCAGTTGTAGATTTAATAGATGTGTATAGCAGACTTATTTGCGAGTTACATTGATGGTTAGAACAATAATAGTAGTTTAAGAAAAAAGAAAAAAAATAAATAGATAAAGAGTGAATAGCTTCAATACGAATAAAAAAAACTTTGTCAGTGCGGTCTCCTCCGAAACCAATGTGTGGAACTCAACAACTATGGTTGTCCTAGGGAGATGTCTATAATAGGGAGTCCGTTGCTAGGAGTCTGCAATGGAAGCCTAGGAGGAAGAAGAAGGAGCCGCAAAACTTCGACTTAAAACTTTCACTCACTTTTTTCTTCGAAAATATATGTGAGATCCACAAAATAGAGCGCAGATAAAACTTGAAGAAAAAAATCTATTCTAAAGATAGAAATCAATAAAACAGTTCATTTGCCTTGCGGTTTAATTATTCTCGACAAGAAACTATTAATCTGTTAGAGATTTTCATGTAGTCTATTTTATATATGCATAATGAAGACGAGAAGAGACATTTGAATATCACAGGTGAGTTTCAAACTGGCTGCACTCGCAAGCTTTTTTACTCTTTTTCTTGAAATCTGTTGTGATTGCGCTTTGACATCAAATCAGTTCAATGTTCATGTGTATGATTGTGAACAATCTCATTGAAAAGTGTTGATTTGATGTGATTTTGCATTTGCTTACATGTATATGTAGTCAGATGTTTTTTCATTTTTCTGAATAAAAAATTTCATCACGAAAACAATATTATGATTTTTTACTAAGTCAAACTTAAATATTCCTAATTATTCAACAGTATAATATTCATTTGTTATGATTTGCTGTTTCATAAGCAAGACACTTGATAATGACTTTCAGTAAGTTTTCATTATTTCGATAAGGTGTTTACAGTTATTTTTCTTGTGGAAAAACACTACATAATCGATCTTGACTCTAGAAGAGATAACTAAAATCGATTGAGCTGCAGCAAACTTTAATTTATATTTTGTCGAAATTAGATGTACTATAGGAAAATAGTTTACGTGCTAACTTTTACCAATTAATTAAAACAAAACATATGCCTGTATTCCTCCAACACGATAATAGACGTAGGTGTTGAAAAATAACTTCTGATGGTAAGATGAGAAAGAATAATAATAAGTTTATTGTTTTTGTATGGTTACTATTGACATTTGCTTTTTTTAGACGACTATTCCAATATCGGTTATTTCTTATATTGTCAGTGCAAGATTTATTGTGAACCACATGAAATATCATCATTGATATTATCGAAGAATGATTGTAAAGCAGTCAGAGCAGGAGATGAGAACATAGTTTTCTAATAATAATATATTTTAGGTACGTGTGCTAAGCAATTCAAAGATTCGGCAACGATTCTTTCGTCGTGGATATTCTGTTCTTTTTATCACCATTCCTATGATCACCTTTCTAGCGTTCATTGGTCAACCCAAATTTATTTTTCAACCTCATCTACACATACCTTGGCTCACTAATGTACGACATGTACGACCGCTTGAGTGTATTTCTGATGCTGATCAACCTGGTTGGCCACGTGCTGTACAACTTGCCGATAAATCTCTACTGGATGATCATCTCACCATTGTCATTGTCACAGCACGACCCGATTTTAAACGGATACCACTCTCACTAGCTTCACTCGTATGTCATCTTGATTATCGCAAACTTAGTGAGGTCATATTACTCGTTCCTCGTCGACACGTATCATATCTTGAGCCATTTCTTGCCGGTCAAGCTGTCAATCATTGGCCATGGCCCATTTCGATCATGCCCGATGATATTGTCTTAAAACATTCTCACACACATTCATATCGTCTTCAAATGATGTTCAAGTTAGTGATTGCTCAGATAATCAAAACCGAATTTTACATGATACTTGATTCGGATTGTATTGCTCTCTGGCCTATCCATGTCGAACAATTGTTGTTGAAACAGCAAGTGTCAACTTCGAAAATGAAGCATAATACACCATCGTATCGAGCTTTGTATCAACTTGAAGAAAGATCAGATCATGCAGAATGGTGGCCCGAAAGTGAACAGGTACTACAAATCGAACCGAACACATGCATCACAAATAATCCATCGGCGAAAACCATAGGTGTTACACCAGCTATTCTATCGAAATCGATCGCATTAAGAGCTTTGTGTCGATTGCAGACACTTTATGGTAGGTTTATGGCTAGTAAAAAACTGATATTTCAAATTAGTTTAATTTATAGGTGATCGATCTTTTTTGAACGTATTGGCGAACTGGGCTTTGTGGCGAACTCCATTCGGTCGAATGTGGACAGAATATACATTGTACTATTTGACTGCTCTTTGTACTGGCATATTCAATTCTTACCATTTTCATCGTGCAAATACCTCGTCAATACCGGCACTCAATTTATACGGTCTCAGTGTTTGGTGGCCCACCGATTGGAATTCATTTTCACGAGATCAACTTCTTAAATCGGCAAACGCTGGCCTCCGGTGGCGTCAAAAGGAGATCGATAATAACAATGGTGCACCTATTATTGACTCATCAGGTACAACGATCAACCTTTTTACTGTTCTTCAAAGTCGTGTTATGATCAATCAAACTCTATTTCACACATTTCTCTATCCACTATTCATTGACCACTTAACGCAACGGCGTAACACTCAACAGCTAGTGAAAATTCTGAATCAGATGGTAGCACGGTTCGTGTGGAATAGTAACTTGGATGGATCCAATTCAGTTTAAAGTGTCTTTCAGTCGGACATGGAACACCGAAAGAAGAGAACCAATATCATTTCTACAAAACCAAAACAGTTCTATGACATTTTAAGCCCATTCTAGCTGGCAAGCACAGGTTCAAGTGTGTTCGCTCGGTTTATAGTGTGAATGTGAGCTGCAAATGCATATTAAATATGAGTAAAATAACATGATGTTGCAGCAACTACATTAGAAAGAGGGTGAAAGCGCGTCCATTCTTCGAAGGTGTGAAGCTGGATTGCTGTGAATGAGAATAAAGAAAAGTTCTTCAAACTTACTCTCAGATTTACTCTTATTATCACTGCAAGCACTTCTCACCTTCATTTTCACACTTCACCCTCACAACACACCCACACTCTAATTTCAAATATTGTATTTTAAATTTTATTTGTTAATATAAAACTGGATCTTGACCAAAGGCTCTAATTTATTTGCGTGAAGTTTTTGAATGACAAAACAGTTTATCTATCATGTGTAGTATGCAATAATTTAAGAGTACATTCTACGCTTTTTTACAAATTCTTCAGATGTAGATAATCTGGGTGATGAGAATATCTTTTAGCTATTGCATTGCCAAATTGCTATATATAACCTTCTGCAATTTCATAAAAGATTTGAATATCTTTGCTGAAGAATCTCTAGACATTCTTATTCGTAGTCAGCAAAAAATTGATCGTTAGCAATATTTTGACAGTATTCATCACTATAAGAATCCAAGCATATGTTTCTGTGATCATTTAAGGACTATAGATTAATTTATAAATCAATTGAATATGACTACTGGCGAAATGTGAATATTTATAGATAGTATTTTAACGCAGCTCATACCCTATTCATGTTCAATCTTCGACTATCCGAATCACGACTACATCAATATATAGTGCATAAAAACTGTGCCTAACGATTAATCTAGTTTCTCCAAAAATAGTATTCACCTAAAAGTCTATACAGGGTCATAGTCTGGCAAAACGTATTTTTTTAAATTTTCTCTGTAGGATTTCGATTTTTGTGTTGCCATTTGCAAGTGTTGACTTGCACTGCTTTTATGGGAATCATGTCAAATTAATAAATTTCCATAAAACGTGATACGTTGTAACTAATTCTATGATATTAGATTTTTCAGGCTGTTTCAAAAGAAGCTTTCTTGAGAAACTAACCAAAAAAAAATCAAATATCGTAGAATTAGTTGCAAGATGTCTCATCCCATATAAAATTCTTTTTCTGATTGTTTTCTCAAAAGAATTCAGGGCTAAATTTTAACAAAATAACAGAACTAATATGGAAATGCTAAGAAAAATGTTGAAAATAAATGGTCTTATACATATAAATCTCACGTTGATCAAATTAAACAGCTACAGGAGGACAACTAACTTCATTAATTGTTTTTTGTTTTTACATAGGAAACTTTCGTTACATTTAATTAGTTAAGATAGTAATAAATTGTCAATCATCGTACCACTTTATCTGAACAACATGATGTACATGTCGTAGTCGTCTCATTTCTGTTTTCCTTTTTGACTAGTTCAAAATATCAAGTACACAATTTTTGGAATGGAAAAAATAAATATTAATAGGTTATCATTTACCACAAATAGCAATTCCCAAATTATATCCACTTTTGTGAATGATCAAAATATAAAGATCTATTCTGATGATCAATTAGAAATTTTTCAATGTAAAATTTTGTTTTAATGTATGATATGTCATACATATTGTAATTCAATATCATCCTACGTTTGCTACGGCACTGATTCATTTTATTAGAATAAACATTTTCAAATTAGATGTGTTGAAAGTAGTTGATTGAGATTTCGTGGATATGTCTCCATACTGTCATATGACATAGTTGCACGTACAAATAAATCATAATTTTGCAAAATTAATTTTTCGGATATGATCATAAACTTTTTGTAAAAAGTTCATTTAATAGAACGATTAGAGTAAGTTGTAAAATGGAACTATATATTAAAATAATTTAAATATCTATATTGTGTTTCATGAAATCAGTTATTTGATGGTTATATAGAGAAATGTTACAATCTTATGTTCATAGGGAAAATATGCCCAGTACTGTTCGAGAATAATCATTTAGCTCTAAATTTAAAATATTAAAATTCTTCTCTTCTTAATCTCAAAAATACTTACGGCAAGATTATGCAAGTAATTAAAGTTTTGAAAAAGAGAAGCATAGAAACTTTGTCATATTACAATTCAAAGCAGTCGAAAGCTATTCGAAATCAATACAATTTTCAATTGCTTTCAAGAAAGCCACTAATAAAGCAATTACAAAAATCGATCATTAATCTTCCGAATAGGCCCATGATACTGCTACATCGATTGATTTCATTATTTACTGTGTATAGCATTATTTTGTCATGTCGGATGTTATTCTGTCATAGAAGAATACAGTTACTCTTCAAAGACTCTAATATTTTTTTCTCATTCATAACATCCATGGATAGAAAAAAATCATCTCGATCGATTTCTATCGGATTCGTTAAGAACACAGTAACTCAACTCTTGAAATGTTAAGTTTTAAACGAAACATGTGTTTTTTCATAGGTTTTTTTAAACAAAGTTGATCTTATTTATCAAGATATATGTCTATTAATAAACAAAGTCTGTCGATGTTGAATAATATCTTTTGAGCGCTAATTGAAACAGATGTCTAAAAGATAGATGCATTGTTTTATGATCTATCATCTGTTTGTTTTTATGGAGCAAGTGAGAAATCACTCCAATGAATACTGGTAAATAAAGGGCGAAAAATTGTTTTTATCGACGTTTCATAACATATGAATGTTTTGGTTGTCAATTTCTTTCAAATGAATATAAGCGTGAAATTCTTTCCTTTTGACAAAAAAGAAATTACTTATGCGATTTGATGAAAATGTAAAGGATACGTATATGTTAGAAACAAAATTGGCCTTTGGTGAAACTCAAATTTGTATGAGTAAAACGTATGACAAAAAAATCAAAATGTCTGGCTTTGTTTAGAACTATAATTCTACTAATAACAAAGAAAAACGGTCATCTGATTAGGACTGTTAGACTATGTAATTTTTTAACTAATCTTGTAGTCTTTTCGTTGATATCTCTATTCAAACCAGTTTTATCGAATGTTTTCGTTCACATTCCACAATTGCAAATCTGCTTAGTTACTCAAATGTTGTTTTTTCTGAAACACGATAGTAAAAGAATATTTAAGCATACAGAAAGAAATATGAGTCTATACACCGAAATTGGATATTAAGCGTAAGTATGAACGTCATTATCATTATGGTGTCAAGACATCGAAACAGCTGTATGAGCTAAAACTAGCACAAAATATTGTCGATGAAATTAAAAAAATAAACCAACAATGAATAACTTCATTATTTTAATATTAAATCTAGATGTAGTTCAAGATAAACCATTGTTTTTGTTGGTTTTGTATTTTATACATGATTAGAATTTTTATAATATTATGGAGAAATTAAAATATTTGGATAAAAAAATAAAAACAAACTAAATCGCTACTTGAAATATGATATGTTTGAAGTTATTTATTCGACTAAAAGGTTTTGAAATAGATTACTAAAAAAGACTCGTATTATACAAAGGTTCGAATATTTTTGGTCTACAGTTTATTGATATAAATTATTTTCAAACAAAATAGCAGAGAAATTAATATCCACTAATATTGATGTTGAATTGAAATAAGATCGATCACTGAATATTAGACATTGTTCATTGTGAACGATCAAATTCAACAAAAATTCTTTGCTCTTATGCATTTTAATAGTATCTGGGTAAATATCGTTTCAAATAAAGGGTTTATGTCTGTTTTTCTTTGGTTCGATTCTTAGGTTTTCTCCGTCCGCCACATGAAAGAATAGTTTCAATGAAGCCTAGGCGTTTTGGAACAGGGTTGGAGCGCCTGTGATGAGGTTTTCGTTTGGATTTTTTTCCATTAACGGATGGCATTGGTCGTGTCGAATCTGTCGTATTCATATAGCAAGGTTGTATTGATGAAATGGACAGCTGATTTCTAATATGGTATGGTTGTTCGGGCAATTGACTCTTTAAACGACCCAGATACGCTATCCATTCAGCGACGCATATGATTAATTGATTAGCATATAATTTATGTATCCACTGTGTTGGAATATTGTGATAACCATAGTGGGCACCTGCTAATTGACCATAAATAGCTGCTGTAGTATCTGTATCATCACCTAGATTAACAGCATTGAGTGCACCTTTTTCGAATGTATCTGCACTCCAAAATGCCCACAACGCTGCTTCAAGTGCCGAAACAATGTGTCCTTTACCGCGAATTCCATTTTTATAACCTCCTGGTCGTTTAAAAGATCCTTTTGCGATATGGATAATGTCATTATGAAGTGGCTTCGAACTAAACCAACTTTGATGACGATCATAAAATTGATCGCTGATTAAACTTTCTTTCTGTTCACCATTAACAGCAGCAACGATCAGAGCTCCA